TTTATCTGTGTGATCTTGAGCAAATTATGTAAACTCTCTAAATTTTAGTTTCCTCATTGGAAAATAGGATTAAATGAGATGTTGCAAACCAAGTGCTTGCCAAACACTTTTTCCTTTGGGCTTCTTGGGAAAACACAATGAGCTTATCCACAGAAGGTGATTAGGACAGCATATGGAACCCAGCAAGCACTCTTACGAAGATACTAGAATACACGAATCCACCAGGCTGCTGCCCCTTGGGTTCCTCAGCATGTATTTAGTCTTCTGTGCGCTCAGACTCTGCTGGGCTCTGGGAGTCAAATGGGCATGGTTACTTGGCTTATCGAGGTAGAAGGCCTTGTGTCCAGGCTAGCGGGCTGAGCTGCACCAGAAATGTGGATACCAAATCAGAAGACCCCTTACAGATCAACTGGTGACATCCCTCTCTCCTGTACCCCCACATCCAGTCACTAAGGCCTGGGAGGGCACCCTTCAACAGCTGTCAAATGCCGCCCTTCTCTCCACGTTGTCACTACCATCTCAGTCCAGGCAACAACCTTCTCATGAACTTCTGCTTCCACAAGTGCCCTCTCTCCCCGCTCCACGGCCTGGCCAGAGTGATCCTTCAAAATGTCCATCTGACCACGTCATGCTTCTGCTTAAAATCCTTCAGTGGCTCCTGCTACTTTTTGGGTAAAGTCTACTCAATGCTGGGGCCTACGAGACGCTGCATGACCTGGCCCGTCTCTCCTCACCACACTGTCTCAGGGCACGTGCAGTCCTCCTTGAAGTGGAGGGACCCTTGCCCCTGGGTCCCTCAGACTACAGCTCAACTGTTCAGATGCCCTGCCTGAGAGCCTCTTGTTTGCAGCCCTTGTCATAAAAGCAGTTTTCATTTCAGCCGATGGTAGGATCACTCCCCGTTTTCATTCATCGTTGTAGCCCACGCCTGGCACGGGCAGGGGCAGAGCTTATGGTACTTGCTGAGCAAACAAGCCAGTGTGCACACAGGACAAGACCACTCAGCTGGATGAAGCAGCCACTCACCTGTCACACAGCTGATCAAGAACTGACGTCTTTTGACTCTACCCAGCTCTTTCCATTAAACTGCCCCAATTCCCTTGTCCCAGTCTGTCCTCAATGGAGGATTCCAAACTAATCCTTATTCCTCCTTGGCCGCCGAGGTCAGGGGCTCGCGAGTGTTCCTACTACTGGAACTTGGCGGGAGGCCTTTTGCAGCCTGATAATCAGCAACAGAACATCCATTGAGAGCATCTCCCAGTGGCATCAGGAGGTTCTGGAGAAAGAAAAACCCTTCAACATCCTCTTCCTAGTGGTAGGCCACAAGAGTCACCGGTGGCTGAGGGACAGCTGATGCCAGAGGAAGGGGAGAAGCTGGCTGCCTCTTTGGGCACTATGTTGAGACTTCAGCCAACAGCAACGGTGACTTCAGCACAGCCTTTAAGCTATCCACTCAAGAGATCTATGAGACTGTGAAGAGGGGGGTCATGGGACCAAACTCAGAGTGGGAGAGAATGAAAAGCAGGGTCCTACCTCATACCAAGCCTCAGGAAGTAGAGGCCCAGAGTAGGGCAAGGTGGATGTGCCCATGCTGGTGACCCACGGGTGGAACAGCCATGCTTCCTAAAGCCCGTGGAACTCCCACAAGCCACCAGGACCACACTAGGCATAGAACAGGATGCTGCTAGGTGCCACTGAAGGTCATGACTCTGAGGTCTCAATGAGCCTGGTTTCTTCTGTACGATGGTGAAAGCACTGAGACCAGGGATACTAAGAATACATGGGGACCTGCACAGAAAGGCCGTTCCCCAAGGCTGCTGCCATCTTTTCTTAGGGTCAAGGATGATCTCCAGAAGTTCCAGAAGAGCAAGTCAAAAAAGGATTTCCCCAAACCAGGATGCCTCTTCAGTTTGGGGTTCATGAGAGAAGGTCATCCTGATCATTTCTATAGCAGTGACTGGACTTCAAGTCCTAGTGATGGTATGGCCTTCCTTGGAGTAAAATAATGGAAAAGTCCCTGGGTTTTTCCTCCATCACAGACATAAATAATGGTGCTGCCATCTGCTGACCAGAGAGCTACACCCAGCCCTGCCTGTCCTCCTCTGGCATTTCAAAGGCTGTAAGCCATGCACCCTGTGTCTTTTGATTGATAACTTCTTTATTCTGGAAAAGCAAATGAAAGTCATATTCATATAAACACTGACATTACAAAGTACAAGGAAAGGAGGAAGGGAGAAGGAAACAGAAAACCTCTACAAATCCTGCTAATACTGCCTGACCAAACAAGGCCATAATCCTTTGTCCCCTATTCAATCACTTATATAATAAACCACAAATAAAGTCTTCTCTGAAAGATACATTGCTCCTCTTTGAGACGGCAGGGAAAAGGGACCGGAAGTTAGGGTAGGAGGCTTTATTCTTTTGGCAGATCCTCTCAGTCATTATAGATATTGCTGTACTGTTAATAAAAAATATATGCTTCTCTGTAAAGCATTAAAAAAAAAAATCCAAGGATGAGATGGCTGAGGTTTCAGCTCAAGTATCTCCAAATACATTGTTGTCCATTCCCTGACCTTTCTGTGTGTTATTTCTTGGTTGTTTTCCGGATCAGTGCCATTCTCTGAAAGGAGAGAGAAATAAGCAATTATACAGGAACTTTCTGGGACATCCAGGAGTGGCCAGCAGACAGCGTGGTCTACACCAGAGGCTGGAGCCCTCAGGAACCTACAGGTACAGGGCAGCTCAGCAGGTTCCTTCTGATTCAAGAGCAGTTTGTGGGACCCCAACAGATGTTTGGAAAGGCCCGTGGACCCATTTCATTGACCCAAAGACCCAAACTGCTCTATGCTAGCAGGATGGCAAATAAAGTGAAAAGGAGAGGGTGACAGCTCTTGCCTTTTGGGGATTTAAGAGACAGGCCATCAAAGTATGTGTTTTCTAGGTCTACCCCCACCCCTAATCTTTTTCTCTGACGATGGAGAAAATTAGGAAGGGGCTCTGTTTTACGCCTGTTACCATATGTAAAGGGAGCTGACATTTCATACCTGATGACCTGTGACGAAGGAAAATGACTCTAACAACTTCCACCACAGCACATTAGGGAAACATTCAGATCATGGGTTTCAAATTTTACTATTATCAGCCACTGGCCAAATTACTAACTTGCTTTTGCTCACTCTTTTTGACTAACAGATTGTCCCAACATTACGATATGTATGTATTGACTGATAAATAAATAGGGCTGAAAAGTGGATAATTTGGGAGCAGAGCCAAAATGACCGTCCATTGCCTAGAAGGATTCCCTTCTGAAGAAGACTGCGGTCCTTTGATTCAGGCCACTGGCAGCCTCCTTGTATGGCTTCCTCTGTGAACTTTGTAAACATACCTACTCCAGAGATCCCAGGCTATGGAAAAGCAAGGTACACTCTGCCAGGATCACCCAATTGTAGCCATCAGGCTGGGGAAAAGCTCACTTTCAAATCAGAGTAGCTAGTTAAATTAAGGCTTTGTCAAATGGAGGCCAACATTGCTTTGAGACTGACAAATGACAGGGACAGCTTGCTCCCCAGCAGAAGTGGAGACAGGTTCTCATACTGACCCCTGTTCTGCAGTAGGAGGGACAGAGAACAACCTTTAAGCCGGGACAGAGGCCAGAACGCCCAGCAGAGCAGCCTGGGTACTACCTCCCAGCTTTCCTTACACTGCCCTCTAGCCAGAGGGCCATATATGATGTTCAAACCAGCAACAATGAGACAAAGTTTCATTAAGAAAATCTATTCATGTTAGAAGAACCTAGAATCAACAGCTTTAAGTGACACCCATTAGAGTTGAGAGAAAAAACTGAGACCCCCTGTGGGAACAGTGAAGCACCAAGGAAATACCTGGCTGACCTCCCAAGGAGCCCTGCTGCCTCCTGCCCTTTCTGACATTTGGGGGAAGTGACAACTGCAGTGATGGCAGCTGTGTACATTCCCACTAAGACACAGCTCAAGGGATCAGCTGGGACGCTGAAGGCTTCTCACCTGTTTGTGAGCTTCTGTGGTGCAAGCTTTTTTGTAGGGTCGGATTTCTTCTGAGCCAAATCCTGGGATCCACATGTTCCACTGGCGCTCTGCAAGGAAGAGGCCACACAGAGGTAAGGAGACCAGGAAGGCAGCATCAGGGTACAGTGTGACCCTCAGACAAGGGTCAGGGAGGAGTAATCTGGGCACATCAACTGGAAGAATTAACAGTAACCCTCAGAGAGCTTCTATGGGACACAAGTGGGGGAAATCACATGGTGCCTCCGAGGTTTTGAAAGGACACCATCTGATCTTCTTAAAAAGAGGTAAGTGAGTCAAAATTTTGAGTGTGGAGCCCTAATACTTCCATGCAGCTCTTCAGAAAAGGAAAGTTATCTGTTCTTCAATCATCTTACTCCTATGCTCAAGGTAACCCCGCTCAAAACCAAAGGAGTAGGAACAGAAAGGCATTTCTAGCGTTCTGGAGTTAAGAGCCAAGCACCAGCTCTGCTGCTTCATTGTGAAGCTGTATGACATTGGGTCTCAGTTTCACCATCTTTTACATGGTAGTGGCAACAGTAATAATCACCTGACAGGGTGACTGAGAGCCTTCAATGGCATAATGCAATCCCACAGCCTGAGATAAATACAGACATACTGATATAGACACAGGTATGTCCACGCCACAGCGTCATGTCCTTGTGCTACTGGATATGATCATCCCTGTAAGACTGTCACTACAAGTTCCCAAAGGGCAGAGATTTGGCTTATTCCACTTTGTCAGTAATTGGCATAGCCACATGGCCCCCTAAATCCACAAATAAAAGTGTACTGCACTTTAAGTATACCCAATATTAAGAAATTATACTTACAAGAGATTATTTAAGGACTAGGTCTCTATTCAAAAGGAGTTACATGGGGACTCCTTTATCAAGCTCCCCAATCACTGAAAACATTTGTTTTGCAAATTTGACTTGCCCCCAGGCAGGCAGTTACTTAAATCAAGTTGAATATTAGTGGTTTCTTTGTGCCTAATGCATAGCAAATAATGTGTGAATGAAAGATTCATGATTTGTTCTAGGATAAATTTATATACAGCTCTCTTCCAGTATTTTTTTGAAAATGAAAATAAAAATGTCTGAAACCTTCTGCTAATAATATTTGTTGTCAGTACTTGAAAGTGACACTAAGATTATTCTCTGGGAATTAAAAAACTTTGTATCAACACAAAGTGGATCAGGATATGGATATTCAAAGTCACTTTAAAGAATAGTTACCAGGCATGAATATACACGTGTAAGTATGTGTAGCTATATATTTAATTAAGTATGTAGAGCTGCCCCTTGAACGAGGCAGGGGTTAGGGGTGCCAACTCCCTCTGTGGTTGAGAACCCGTATATAACCTATAGGCAGCCCTCCAACTATGCTGTTCCTCCACATGTGCAGTTCCTCTGTATTCAAGCATTCAACCAACTGTGGACCATACAGTACTGTAATATTTACTATACAAAAAAATCTGTGTATAAGTGGGCCCTATACAGTTCAAAACCATGCTGTTCAAGGGTCAACTGCACTTAAGTTTTATGTAACATTAATATAATAGCAACAACAATTATTTAGTGAGTAAAATGTGTAGTAAAATGGCTGGTACAAAGCAGCATTGTGCAAAGCATTCTATGTTTATTATCTCATTAAACTTTCATATTTCTAAAGAAAGACTCTGTCTCAAAAATATATATTGAACACATATTCAAGCAAAATGGGTTAGGAGATAGAAAGTTAATCAATTTAGCAACCCCTCGATATTTACAAACATTCCATTAAGCCTAAATTAAAGATAATGAACCAGTATGAATATATATATTCTACAAATAAATATATTTAACAGAAAAGAAAGAAACAGAAAGAAAGAGAGAGAGAAAGGGAGAGAAGGAGAAAAGAAAGAAATAAAGAAAGGAAAGAAAGCAGGCAGACAGACAAACAGACGGACCATGTCAATCAGAATGGGAGGTTATTCACCTCTGGCCAAGTATAACAAAAAACCGGGTCAGAAGCAAACACTGACAGTATCCATCCCAACCTGTCCAGAAGAGAGGCGTTAAGAGTTTATAGCTCCACTGGCAAGCTTATCCTTGCTGAGGAGGGAGAGGGGCTGTGTGTGCAGCAGACCTAGATGGTTTAATACCAGGTTCCCTGACTCCTCATGCTCTGATCCCATACCCTCCAAGCAATCTTCTGATTATGATTCAGGTTCCATTAGGCCTGCTACAGAAGCTGTTCTGGTCATGCAGACTTTTGAGTATTCATGTCTCTGTGATAATTATTTCTTATCCTTAATGAATAAATTGACATCCCAATTTTATTCTCAATAATTAAAATACAAAATATTTTTTAAAATAGCAATGGTAGGGGGAGGCTATAGCTCACAAGCAGAGTGTATGGTTACCATGCATGAGGTCCTGGGTTCAACCCCAGTACCTCTGTTTAAAACACACACACACACACACACACACACACACACACACACACACACACGTATAAACCAGCAATGCTAAACTCTCAAAGTAATAAAATCTGTTGTGAGGGTTTTTTGGTATGGTAAAATATAAAACTTAACCATTGTAATCATTTTTAAGTGTACAGTTCAGTGGCATTAAGCACATTCACACCGCTGGACAACCATTACTACTATCCATCTCCAAAACTTTTTCATCAATCCAAACCGAAACTCTAACTTCCATTTCCCCCTCTAGACCCTGGTAACCACCATTCTACTTTCTGTCTCTATGAATTTGTGTTGTGACGATTTTAAAATCTGTCTGCAAATTCCTTCATACTCTTCCCATCAAGAAGTGGAGTCTGTGCTTCCTTCCCTTGAACCTGGACAGGTCCTTGTGATTGCCTCAAAGAACAGAATTCAGCAGAAGTAATGCTAGGGACTTTGGAAACTTGGTTAAGAAAGGCCATGAAGTTTCTGCCAAGTGATTATGGGACACTTGTTCTGGGAGCCTTCAGCTGCCATGCAGAAGTCCAGCTATCCTGGGACTGGATATGGAGACCATGGAGAGAAACCACAGAGACAGAGACTTGTGGAGTCCCTGATTTTCAGTGTTCCTAGCCCAGACATCAGACATGGACATGATGAAGCTCTGTTATGGGTTAAACTGTATCCTCCAAAAAGATATGTTGAAGCCCTAACTCCCCTCAGAATGTAGTGGAAATAGGGCTGTTGCAGATGTAATCAGTTAAGATGAGGTCATACTGAAGCAGGGTAGGCCATTAGTCCACTATGACTGGTGTCCTGTGAGAAGAGACACAGAGACAGAGACACACAGGGGACCAAGACCAAGGCACAGGCTGGAGCGATGCAGCTACAAGCCAGAGAGTGCCAAGGACTGCTGGCCACCACCAGAAGCTGGAAGAGGCAAAGAAGGATTCTTCAACAAAGGCAATGGAGAGAGCATAGCCCTGCTGACATCCTGTATTCAGACTTCTGGCTTCCAGAACTGTGACAGAGTAAATTTGTGTTGTTTCAAGCTACCTAGTTTGTGGTATTGTTATGGCAGCCCTAGGAGACTAATACCCCTTCCTTCAAAACAGTCTTGGCCCCAGCCACCACCTGACTTTAATCACATGAGAGATCCTTAGCAAAACTGCCCAGCCAAGCCCAGTCAACCCTCAGACCTATGAAAAAATGAGTAACTGCTACTGTTTTGAGCCACGTTTGTTACATATTAATAGATAATCAAAATATCTGTCTTCTGCTATTAATACCAGCAACGTTAACTAGAAGTGTGTTATTTATTCCACCTCCACTACCAGTGACTCACCGGACTGGCCTAGCAGTATCTCCCTGACACTGGGAAGGAAGCCTTTCAGTAATCAGTCATGGGCTGATCCACACTGAATCCCTTAATATCTTCTGCCTTATTGACTTGGCCTGACTGTCTTTGTAGTCACAGATTGTTCCCTTTCTTCTGATCACACTGCAACTAATACACAGGGTTGCTTACTCATTTCCAAGTGATTACAGTTATCAATGTTAGATGAGTATCTCCCAGAAAACCCCAAGCCTGAATTTAGTGTCTATTAAGTAGAAAAGCAGAATACAAAATTACATGTACATTATGAATATAATTTTCTTGGGAAAAATGCATCATAGGCTAAAAACTGGAAGGAAAACACCATTACATGAACGGTGGAGATATAATAGCTACATTTTTTCTAAGCTCTTACTTTGTGCCAGATCCTGTGTCAGTCACTTTACAAAATAATCCATAACTCTCACAATGACCCTGTAAGGAAGACATTATAATCCCCAATTTACGAATTAGGGAACAGGCTCCAAGAGAAAGTAAGTAGGAAGGATAGGTGGTACCATCAAAAAGTGGCAAACCCAATGCCAGGACTCATTCCCCCATGATGGATGGATTTCTCTTTCCCGTTTAATGCTGCTGTTGAATGAACATATAAATCCTACAGCCCAAAAGTCTGATCCTGGTATGAAGGTTCCTGAAGGAGCAATACTGTGGATGCCTCAGGGGGAAGTGAGACCACATACCTAGATGCAGCTGGACATCCTTTACCTCCAGGGTGCTGGACTTGCGATGCCGAGCAAGCTGGCAGGCTGCTGTCACCACACTCTCAATAAAATCATCAGCAATCTGCAGCAGCATCTGGGGAAAAGAAGTAGGGGAGAGTAACCATGACATTGGCAGGGTAGGCTCCTGTTGCTGGGACAACTGTATCTGCTTGAATCACATTTAATCAGGCTTTCTATTAGAAGGCCTGGAATCGGCATTTGAGCTAAGGTGGGGAGGAGTGAAGACGACAACAGAAACACATCAACTCAGTGTTAACCAGCTTGAGCACAACTCACACCTTTCTGAGGATGTACTTTCTACCAAGCAGGGATCAAGCGGCCCAACCAAGCCCCCATCATACCTTCTTCTGAATTAGGTAGGAAAATAAAAGTGAATCATTCAATCTTCACTCCCTCATCTTCTCTTAAAACATTTTAATTTGTATTATCTCACCTAGTGCTTATAAATACCCTGTGGAAAAAAAAATGGGGCGTGGATTTGACCGTAATTCTAATGGGGAGAACGCTAAGATTCAGGAAGACTAATTTGCTCATGGCAATGTAACTACTAAGCAGTGGAACCAGGATTCAACCTCTAGGTTCTGAGTCCATATCCTGGATTTTTCCACTTTATTATTGATTATTCCTAGACCTTGTGAAAAGCAAAATCAGAATTCTAAAGCTAAAAATCTACATGAAAAAAAATGAAATTTTGATCAGTGAATACACTCCTCATGGCTTCTTCTGCTGACAAATAAAATAAAATAAAATTAAATTTAAAAAAAACATAGTTATAAACATTTCTTATTCTGTTGGACCATTAATGCATTGTCATCTTTCCTATGGAACCAAAGGGATGCCATCTAAAGGAAAGATTTCTGATTAAACATGGTAGGTTGACTCCAAAAATGTCCTTCTCTCTTTCCCTAAACCCATTAAAATAACAATAAATTTTAAAAAGACATAAATCCAAAAAGAGAACAAGACTAAGAGAGAAAATCTTAATGGATAACAGATTCCAATAAACCTTTAAAGTAAATTTTTGGTAAAGAGGTAACAAAGGAAGAGTGGGAACTGACCTAGCAGACAGAAGGTATAAAACAAGTGCCTGTAGAGGGGACAACAATGAGAACTGAACTGATCTGCCCTTTGCAGCTCCTAAGAGATCCAGGATTTGGAGATGTTATTAATCACAGAAGATTGGTCTGAGGTATGGAACTAAAAACTGGGGAATTGTTTATATCTACATACAGAGTGGTCCCCCAATGCCCATACTCCAAAGGCAGCCAAGTGACTTTTTCCCACACATACTTGACCCACAGTACAGTAGGTATATTCCCTAGGAAAACTAAACGGAAGTGGCTCTGGATTAGTACACCATACACAGCAGAGATAAGGGAGACACAGCCCTTTTCTCTTGCCTCGCTTCCAGAGTGTTAGAAGCTAGGGATAAACCCTCCAGATAGGAGACTAAAGTATTTTTCTTTGGTGATACTAAATGATTCCAGAGAAAAGACTTACAGATTCTGACATTTAGGGAATCCCCCATTAAGAAGGATGACTGTGGACAAACTGTTCTGAAGTGAGGCCAGTGGTATGCTGGAGCCAGATTAGATGAGTTCATGAAGGCCCATTATATTCATTTCTTCCCAATTCTGTATTCAGTGACAACACGTCGATAGCTTAAAATATTTACACAGTCGGAATATTTACAACACAGAAATTAGGAAATGTTGAAAATCAGGGCCTTTTTCTCCACAGATGGTTGTTAAACATTTACTGTACATTACTGGGTGAAGACCATCAGTCAATAAGATCTGCTTTTAAAATAAAAAAGTTCTCCTTTAAATCAGCTTTTTTAGTGGCTCATCATTTAGTAATGGATAACCAGGATCATGAGACATTTGTAGATAGTCTCCAACACTAAAAAAACATAAACAAACCAAAGAAGAAAAAAAGGGACCCAGAGGAAACAAAGACAATGCGGGGAAGAGAAGAAAACGTCAAACAATGTAACTAATATCCTCAGAGAGAATGATAAGAGAAGATATTACAACCATAAAATAAGAACAGAATGGCTTAGGAAAAGAAGAAGAAAAAGAAAAAAAGGAACCAATCAGCAAGAAAAAGTTCTTGGAAATGAAAATTTTTATTTAAAAAAATGGTAAAATTTAGAAGATAAACTAAGAAAAATCTCCCCAGCAAGTAGAACTTAGAACTACAAAGAAATGAAAAATAGGAGAGAAAAGATCAAAAAATCTAAGAGGATCAATGCAGAAAATCCAACATCCAACCAACCATCATTCCAGAAAGAAAGAACAAAAATAGAGAAGAAATTATCAAAAAACTAAGATTAAAAAAATGGAACCCTCATACAGTGCTGGTGGGAATGTAAAAGGGTGCAAACACTTTGTAAAAACAGGAAGTTCCTCAGAGGAAAAACATAGTTTTCCATATGATTCAGCAATTATTCCACAGCTAGGTACATATCCAAGAGAAATGAAAATGTATGCCCATACAATAACTTGTTATGTGAATTTAAAAAAAGAAGGGAAAGAAAAAAAAACTTGCACATAAATGTTCACAGTAACATTATTCATAATAGCCAAAGAGTGGAGATAACCCAAATGCCCATCATCTGATGAATGAGTAAACAAAATGTGGTATATCTATACAAGGGAATATTATTCACCCATAAAAAGGAATGAAGTACTGATACCTGCTACAACATGGATGAACTTTAAAAACATTATGCTAAGTACAAGGAGGCAAGTCACAAAAGACCAAATATCATATGATTCCATTCATTTGTAATGTCTAAAATAAGCAAATCTACAGAGACAGAACGCAGATTAGTGGTTACCGAGGGCTATGAGGGTTGGGGGAAAATGGGGAGTGACTGTTAATAGATATGGGTTTCTTTTGGGGGTGATGAAAAAGTTCTAAAATTGAACTGATAGTTGCACATCCTGTGAATATACTAAAAACCACTGAACTTCATATTTCAAATGGGTGAATTTTATGGTACATGAATTATATTTCAATAAAGCTACTACCTAAAAAACCCACACACATATAAGGGGCAAATATTTTTCCTCTGCTTAAAATAACTAACTAAATAAAATAAGAATAACAATGGAATTATACTGTTTTTGTAACCTGCATTTCCTTTACCTATCATTACATATTCCTCAGAAAAGGCACACCCTCCTCCCCCAAATCCCAAAACAAATCATACCATATCATCCCTGAATGGAGACACGGGAAGTCTCCAGAATAAAAGAAGCCTCCAAGAATTCAGCACAACAAATGAAAAAAGATACATATGAAAATTCCGAACAGGAAAAAAACTGTCCCTAAAAGGATCAGAACCACATTTCTTAACAGGAGATTTTAGAAGACAAAGAAGCAATGCCTTCCCCATTGAAAGGGAAAAACAATTTCTAAATAGAATTCTAAACCCAGCCAAACTAAAAATTAAGTGTAAGGTATTTTCATTTACCTCTCATCTATCCTTTTGTAGGAAATAACAACAACAACAACAACAACAAAATGTTCCAACAACAAGAGGGAGTAAAGAGGATGTGGAATCTAGTAAGTAAGAGATCTGAACAGAAAAGGAGCAAAAGGAAGGCCCATAAAGGGTTTGTGTACGTGGTCTAAAATTAATCCGACCAGAAGAGGAGGGAGGTTTCTGGGAGTAAAATCTCTAGGACGGGAAAACCCAAATCAATAGATTTTTTTTCCATTTGGAAAATAATGCTGATAGAGGTTATAAGAGAGCTGATAGCAGAAGTCAAGCTAAAAAGGTACAAAGAAAACTAAGTAAATAAAAATGGGTCAATTATCAACTTCAAGAAGGTAAGTTGTACCAAAAAGGAAAGGTAATCACAGTGGTGAACAATAATTAAATAGCCAGAATATAAATACTGATTTCTGAGTTATCCAAAAATTGTGACAAAACCATATGGGAAAAATGAGGGAATAAAAAATTAATAAAATAAAATAACATGTCAGATTGCCAAAAAAAAAGAAGAAAAGAGGGCAAGGAAGGTGTGTATGGCACATGTGAGTGGTTTAACAAATTCTCATCTACCATAGTAGGAAGTCTACAACTATTACAAAATTAATGAATCAAAGAGTTTGTGTAAGTACATTACTTAGAAATAGAGGAATGTTCTAGAAACAATTAACACTGTTGCAAGGAATTGCCTTGAGGAGATGACTATGCCCTTTTTGACAGGCAAAAATAGCAGTGGCTGTTAGGTATAAAGTTCCAGGCACTCTCCTAGGTGATTTGTATGTTATTTCATAGGACCCTCACAATAATTATGGATAAATACTGTCATACCCTACCAACACAGGAGGAAGCTGAGTCCCAGAAAGCGTAACTGACTCACCCACAGAGCCAAGATTCAAATTCAGATTTGTCTCTAAAGTCTATGCTCTTAATGGCTACTGTATATTACCTCTCAGGGACACCCTGGGGATACCCAACCCCACCTTACCTCCTCTACATCTTCATCCAATTGCTCATTAGGGTCCACTTCTCTTACTAAGTCTTGTAATTTCTTCTTGGTCAATACCTAAAGTTAATTGGGAGAAGATTTTTCAGCCAAGTATCAAAGAAACAAACAACTCACGACCCTATAATGAAAGGCTGTCCATTTGTTGGGTTTAGTTTCTACTTTGCAAAGAATTATTGGTCAGGCCTACCTGTTGGTATTGCTACACTCTCAGACAGAAGTAGCCTGGGGAAAGGCAGAAAAAGCAGTGTGGACGAAAGGACAACATCTGTCGGCTAGTTTATTAAACTCTACACTAATTTTCAACTTTCTGACCACCACAAATTGTACAGTGCCTCTGCTGCCTTTGGACTCGCTCTTTCACCCTTCTCCCTACATGCTCAGCTCACAGTGCCTCCTTTCTGATGCTTTTCCCAGCCCACCCAGGTAAAACCAACCACTTCCTCTTTTGGCCTCTACTATACCCTGTGTACCCTTCTACAAACTTGGCTATTTCTGACTTACTGCTGAAAGTTCCTTGAGGGCAGGGAACATGGGTTCATCTCTGCGTAAC